TTTCTTTCTTTCTTTCTTTCTTTCTTTCTTTCTTTCTTTCTTTCTTTTTCCCTTCTTTTTTTTTCTTTCTTTCTTAATGTATCTCAGATTTAAGAAAAGTCCTTATCAGCTGTACTTTCTCTTCCCTCTTTCTGTTCCCTCTTCATTGAAAAATATTATTGTGATGGTGTTAATTGGGGGAGAGATGACTCTTCCAGGTCAGTCCATTTTTTCTACATAGGAGACTGTCATTGATTGGCCCAGCCTTTGGAGAGAGCTGAGACACAAGGGTGGTGGTTGAAGTATAGGTCTGTGTAGTGTTACGGGTAAAAGGAGTAGTATTCACATTTACCTATTTCTTATAGCTGATGCTTCTTTTAGAAATGTCAGTACAGATAAATACAGCAAAAAATGAATAATCCAAAGTTGTCACCTGCAACCCCTGATGAGCATCTTCACAGGTGCTTTGTGGTCATACATTGGGTGTACCTGCCACCCATTAGTGTGTTCTGCTTGTTTCTCTGGTCAGTAGTCACCTAAGGAAAACATTTCTGTGCTCTCACACTGAACACCAGTCTGAGTTTTCCACCAATCTTCTCATTTGTAGATACCACCTAGATGTCCTGTGATTTAATTTCTGAACTATTTGGCTCAGTACAGATCCCACGTGTTAAGCTCTCAGTCGGAATAGCCCCACATTTCCGAGATGACTGGCTCACCAGTGGTAGGCTAATGAATTACCTGTGCTGTGTAACTAGACTCCAGAGCTCTACCTTCCTCAGCAGTTTGCTTTTTCCAGAGTCTCGTGTTAGACACAAAGAAAGGGTAGATGGAAAGACCCCAGCCCCAGGGCTGCCTTTGTCACACAGGCAGTGTGAACCATTCTCCTGGTACGTGGATGTATCCACCAGCCTCCCTTTTAAGGGATTTTATTGAAGATTCTATTGTTACTAATCTTTAGCTATCAGTACTTGACTCAGTCCTTGATCCTCTCTCCTTCCCAGGGGAAGACTGTATCTAGTCATTTTCCTTCTTTTCTAAATAAGCCAGCCTTAAAAACAAACAATAACAACAATAAAACATGGCAATAAATCATTTGATTTTTATTAGATTTTTAAATCTCTATTCATTTCTTTTGGTGAATCATTAATGTACAAAGGACAATGATATAGTCAGTTATCCTAACTACTTAAGTGTTTAAGAGACAGGGGACTAAAAATGTTTGAGAGCTATATAAAAATGGAGCTGGATAAGAATTTTAGAAATCCTAGCTATGCCTCAGCCATCCTCTTAAAAAGACTGCAGCCTGATAGGGCACAGTGTGAACAGCATGGTAAGTGGTGGACTCAAGTTGTATCTGCTCATCAACACCCAGCAAACCTTGATTGCATTCTGTACACCAGGCACCGGGAATATAGTAGTGAACAAGGCAAGTGTCCAGGAATACACTTATGAAAGCAGCTAGCTACATTCGTGAGGATGCTATAGGTATTCGAGACACAGGAATTTATTGTAGGAGCTCATCGTAGTAGCCTCATGGCTCTCTAGGGTAGTCTGTGTCTGAGAACCTCCACTCTGTGATTCTGTTTGGCAGAAGTATCAGCAACATTTCCTTCCCCTCTTACTGTCTAAAATGTAATGAACTTGAAGGTTAAGTATTGGATTTGCTTTGGACTCAGTGTGAATTAGCCCTCAAAGATCAATAAAATTCCACATTCTTTGCAAAAGCAACAGAGCACACAAATTGGCCTGATGGTGATTTTTTTCAATAATCAATGTCTTGTTTTATCACTTTGTAAGTTTAATTTATTTTAATGCCAGTTTTGAAAACAGATTAAGTCTACTTAATCCATTATGAAGGAAAATGGAATAGTAGCATTGAAGTTTTAAAGAAACAGAGATGGAATTGGGCTGCAGGCATGTCTTGATGGTTAACAGCATGTGCTGGTCTTGCCAAGGATCCAGGTTTGGTTCCCAGAAGTCACATACAACAGCTCACAACCCCCTGTAACTCCAGCTGAGGGATCTGTGCCCTCTTCTGGTTACCACAGACATCAGACACACCTACTGAAATGACTGAAGTAAGGCCATCCTGGTCTGACTCCATTTTGTATTTGCTTAGACAGTTCTCAGCCCCCTGCTTCCTGCCCCCTACAGTCATATGCCTTGGCAGCACATTTGAGGTCTTCATGGCCTTGAGTATGGTCCAGATATATTAACCAAAATAATTGGCAAGATATGTCTAAAGCAACAACTACCCTGTGCAGAAATGAATGTTTGAGTTGCTCTTACCCTCATTGAACTTTGATGTATCTGGGTGGTTCTGCCTTTAGAAATGCTGTATTCCTGGGTTTAGGCCCCAAGATGCTTTTCAAAGGCTCAAGCCCACCTTGGTCGACCATCAGTAGAAAAGACCAAAAACTTCAATTGGCTTAATCAGCATGGTTGTCAATAATTATCTCATGCAAATAATTACCATATGGTCTCCATACATACATGTAACCATACATACATATAAAATAAACATAAATCTTTTTTCAAAGCCAGGCAGTGGTGGTGCACGCCTTTAATCCCAGCACATGGGAGGCAGAGGCAGGCGGATTTCTGAGTTCGAGGCCAGCCTGGTCTACAACGTGAGTTCCAGGACAGTCAGGGCTATACAGATAAACCCTGTCTCGAAAAACCAAAAAAAAAAAAAAAAAAATCATTTTTCAAAGGTGAAATATATATTTATCCAAATGTATTAGTTTTTTCTAGAGACTTTCTTGTATTGTCCCAGTAAGTCTTAGAGTTAATTTTTCTTCATATATACATATGAAGAAAATTATATATGTATATATGTATACATATATGTATATATGGATATTTTCATAACATGTTTTTATTTGAGTACTGTGATTTATGTTCATTATAGTTTTAAAAAATAGTTAACATTTAAAAATTATACCTAATAATCCCATCACAAAACTATTATAATTTGCTTTAAAGTTGAGTGAATTAGATGAGAAAAAATAAAATGAGTGGCATAAAAGAGCACTTCTACTGTAAACCAAACCAGAGTGTAGCCATGTTCTTGTAGATCCAGGTTTCTGTGAGTCACAGTGTGGTTTGGACTCTGACTGGTGCTTCTGGCCTTTCCTAGCTTGTCCTCCCTGCAGCCGTCTGAAGTCTGAGGAAAACTGGAGGGTGCAAGATGGCTGCCCTGCTGTATACTAGCATTTCAACCTCTGTTTTTAGCCTCTCACCTTGAGCAGTCTGGCATGAGCATTTCTCTAAACCATTTATTGATTGCTTGATTGGCCTTATTATGTTAATTATTACACTGTTCTATGGGGAAAAGCCAATTATATTCTTCATTTTTCTACAACATCTTTTTCTAGAAAACTAGTGGCAAGTAAGTTTGTGTGATGCCTGCTCTGAGATAGTTTCCAGTTTGTAAAAAAGTCTTAGAAGACTGATAGTTAATGACTACATCAGGTAATTACTGTAATGATCGATTACATTGTTTTTTTTTTTTTTACATCACAGGCAGTTGCTGGGTACTTTGATATATATTTTGAGAAGAATTGCCACAACAGGGTAAGTGTCATGAGTTATTCATAAGGATTATACAGAGTACTGGGTTAGATTTGTGCCCTAAGGTGTTTGGTCAGAAGCATTTTGCTGTTGTAAGCAGTTGCAGCTTGTATTTGATGTAGTAGATTAATGTGCCATGACATTAAAAATTATATACTTCATCGGATACTTTTGAACTTCACCAACGCAGGTCGTGTTCTCTACTGGCCCCCAGAGCACCAAAACACACTGGAAACAGACAGTATTTCTACTGGAAAAGCCTTTTCCAGTTAAAGCAGGTGAGAAAGCAAGCACAGGCAAAACATTGCCTTCATTCTGGGGAACTGGTGGTCACTCACGTGTCAGTTTACTTAGAAGAACATAGCAGATGCTGAGGTTAGAGGTCTCAGAGCTACCCACCTGCATGTGTTTAAAGTATCTTAGTATTCGATTCCAAACATATTTTAGGGGCTAGAAAGATAGTTCAACTGTCAATAGCATTTGCTGCTCTTCATGTGGACCCTATTTTATATTCTAGCATCCATATCTGGTGGCTCACAACCACCTATAATTCCAACATCAACATTCTCTTCTGACCTTTGTAGACACCCATATATACATAGTATACTGACAGACAGACAGACAGACAGACAGACACACACACACACACACACACACACACACATAAAATAGCTTAAAAATCTATGTTTTGAAATTTTTTCAGTTTTAAGTCATATGAGGTTTAGTGCTTGTTTGGCTTTTGTTTTGCTCTGGTTTTAAGTGCTAGGGATTAAACCTATGGTTTCACACATGCTAGGTAAGCATTCAACCACTGAGTAACATGGCCAACCCTTAACGTCTAATTTTTACCTTCTAAAATAAAGAATATTTATATACCTCAAAATTGTCACAAAATCATAAAAAATAAGATTTATTTTATTATTTTATATATGTGTGATGTTTTGTTTGGATATATGTATGTGTGGTACCTACATACATATGCTGGTGGAGACAGGAAGATGCTGTTGGGGCCCCTGGAAGTGAAGTTATAGATCTGGGTGCTGGGACCAGGTCCCCTTGTAAGAACATCAAGTGGACTTAGCTGCTGAGCTATCTTTTCAGCCTCCAGAAAATGTTTCTTTAGTCAATAACTAGTGAATGATACCATGCAGATATTACTAAGAGAAAATGTTTTATTTCCTTAGTGACTAAATCACTATCAATGTATGAGACTTACTTAGTAGTTACTGTACTTACGGCAACATCATACAGAGAACTACAGTAAAGGAAAGGAAGCTTGCTTCTATGTAGACTCTGGTGGCTGTCACTCTGTGTGCTGTGGCTTCTTCAGCTGTTCTACATATTAGTATATAACTACTCACACCTTTAAACCTCACATAAATGTGGTAGTATTGGAGGAATCTTTTACACCCTCACTTTCTCTCATATCTTTAAATATGTTTATATGCATATTACATACCTGACACATACTTGTTATTGTTTTTGAGACAAAGTCTTACTCTGCAACCCCGGCTGGCCTCAAGCTCAGAGCAATCCTCCTGTCTTAGCTTTCTGTATGCTAGTTACTCTATCTCTTCTTGAATGTAACTGCCACATTTACTTCCCTTGTCTCTGCCATCACTCAGCTTGTTCTTCTGTGGTCGTGTGCTGAGAGACTGTTGAGGACATCCAGGAAAGGCTGGGGAGGGGACATGCAGACTTGAGTGTGCAGCAGGAGCAGGAGCTCTGTTGTAGTAGATGGGAAGTGGCTTGGGACACGTTTGGACTAGCAGGCTGCAAAGGGGTTCATTGTCAGAGATCCTTAATGCTCCTTTTACAATGGAGGAATCTGTGTTCCAATGTTAGGATCTGACGAGACCGAGTGGCAGCTGCATATGACCATTATGCTAGTGCTAAGCTCTGTATCCTCCACTTCCGGACACTGAGACGGCTTTGAGTTCACTGTTGTTGGATAATGGAGTGGGGATGCAGAGGAGGCTGGTAGGGGAAGGCTGCACCCTGCCGGCACCTCACTCCAGCTTTCAGTGCTGTTAATGGGAATGAGACTTTGCTGGTGTCATTTCTCTGAAGGAAGCTGAAGCATAGTACCACTGACCTGGAGAGTGACACAAACCAGGCTCTGGAAGCAGCTTAGCTTTCATTTTTGTAGCTTGTGCTGGCCTTGCGTGGAAACTTGAAGGTATTTCTTATTGTGGCCAGCTGCCATCTTAACACAGGACTTTACAAGTGAGCCCCTGTCGTATATTTTAGACTTGAAGGAGGTAGAAGACAGCCTTTAAGTTTGCTCCTTCAAATTCTCTCTTCTGTAATACGTGGTAACTTATAATTCTCAAGTGTAATACTTGATAACTGGTAAGAATTTGGAATGCTGCCTCTTCTTCCAGTAATCTCTAAGATGACTGCCTGCCCCGTGCTTTACCTCTGGGCTTTTCCTAGTGTCATGAAGCAGGAATGTGATGCTAAGGTTGTCTTACAGCCCGCCTACTTAACACTTTATTGTCCCCTGCTGTGGTAATAAATAGAAGCTAAAACTTAGTAGTAGGATAGAAGTCTAAAGAGGACAAGCAGATGAACCAAGAACTCTGTTCTGCACAGAAGGCTTATAGGAGAACACATAGGATGGGTGCACAAGAGCAGACAGACAGACAGACAGACCAACTAGAGCACTGCAGTCACTATGACCATAGTAGTTCTCAGAGGTCGTAGGCTTCCATCAGTCAGAGTGCTGCCTATATGAGCAGTATTCAGTAGGGACTCACTAGGACTTTGTGGTGGGAATGTGTTATCCCAATCATCTGGGTTACCTGCATGCACCCAGCAAAGCTTCGAAATGAGACTTGTATGAAACTGAACCGCAGGAAGCACCATGATGCACAAAGTCCTCAATAGCTGTTGTTTGTTTATACATCAAATGCAGAAAAAGATGAGTGTATAAAGACCCAGAAATGATGGAATTAGCAGAGACTCACATTCAGCTAGGTCTGTTTTCTATGAGAAGACACCTCACTGTTGAGGTGGAGACAGAGATGTCTTAGTGGAAAGCTGTGGGATTAGTAACAGGACAGGTCATTAAACTTGACCATCTATGAAAGTGCTCTAAAGCTGAGCTGGGTGTTGGCAAGTGCCTGAGGGAGCCGTTTGGGCATTTAGGGTTGTCCTTTGCTTTGTAGTAAGTTCAAAGCCAACCTGAGCTATGTGAGACCCTGCCTTGAAAAAGTCTCTCTCAGATAACTAGGTAGATGATAGATAGATAATAGACTGATAGACTGATAGATGCTTGATTGATAGAGATGATAAACTGATAGATGTAAATGAATGGAAATATCAAAACAAAGGGAAGTTTTAACAAATACCGAGGTTCTCACTGTGTAGGGAAATTCCAAGTGTCCTGTCCTCAGGGTAATAGCAGGAGTCAGTGAGTGAAGCACTGACAAGTAGAGCAGAAAATAGTCTTGATATAATGGCCAAGTCTTTTACTCTTGATAATAACCAGAATCCACAGACTGAAGACATTAAAACTCAAGATAAACACAAACATAAAACAAATAGCATAAACTGCCGATCAACAGAGTAAAGAAAATACCTTCACCAGCCAGATTCCAAGCATAGAGAGGACAAAGAAAGAAAAGCCTCAGGTCCGCATCAGGAAACTGACAAGATGGCTCAGTGGGGACTGTCTACATTCAATCCCTGACACCCACATGGTAGCAGGAAAGAATCAACTCAGATTCTTCAAGTGCACATGTGCACAGACACACGAGATCATGCACACATAGTGATAAACGTGTGTGCCTACATACACACATTAGATAAATAGGTGGAGGGAGGGGGGAAAGATGTAGATCTATAAGAAAAGAAATGTGTGAGGCCTGTACATTATTGAGAAATTAAATTCTAAATGATGGAGAGGCGCGCTGTGTGGTTGGTGCATTCTCTTCACGATGCACAAAGACCAACACACTCAGTGGACTGTAGATACAATCTGCTTTTTAACAAAAACTTCTATTACATTTTATTTATTTCTGTATATTGGTGCACACACTGCACAGTGCTCATGTCACAGCCAGAGGATTTGGGGAGTTGGTTCTCTCAATCCACAGTATGGGTCCCAGGGTTGATTTCAAGTCCTCAGGCTTGGTGGCAATGCCTTTACCTGCTGAACCATAGCGTGTCCTAGAGATATAAATGTAAAAGTCTTAAACAGTAAAACAGTAAACAGTAAAACAGTAAACAGTAAAACAGGTCAGCAGATCATCATTTGAGACTTATGGAGTGGCGGGCTTATGAAAGGGCATGTTAGCAAGACTGAACTGTATGTGCCATCAGAATTTTAAACTCCTCATTGGTCATTTTCATCCAGATAATTCAGACTTCCCCCCAAAGCCATTTATAAAGAAATCTTATCCTTCCTTTCTAGCACCACCCTTTAAGGGCCCCCAGATTAGCTCGGGCTCCAGCTGCATTTTCTGGTTCAGGGGCCTTGTGGTACTTCAGGAACAAACCCAGAGCTTCATAGATCCTTGGCAAATGCTCTGCCATTGAACTACATTTCTGCAGCTCTTAGATGAGTCATTTCTTAGCTCACTGTCCTATTTTCTTAAGAACTTTCTCAGATTTATTTAAGATGATCTTCTGCTCTCGTGGCTTCTGTGTGAGTTCCACTTCAGCTCTGCTCACTTGGGAGTCTTACTGGTTGTCCTCAATTAATGGCTTCCTATTCTGTTCTCCAGGTCAACTTGTGCATAGATCTGCTGCCACATCCCCTCACACTGTGTTGAGTTCTGATGGTGTGCTTGTGACCGTGTATGCTGTACTGAGTTCTAATGGCCTGAGTCCTTAGCCTCTTGTTTTATCTGTTAGTGCTTGTCATATCAGTGTTGCTGTGCGGGTTAAGTACAGTGAGAGAAGCATCACTTGCTGAAGTCCAGTTCTCAGTCACTTAGGGTGGAGGGTGACACCATGTCAAGGTGCTTGACTCACTTCTGTGCGGCCATTTTGCCAGCTCCAGTGTGCCTGGGGTAGAACTGGGGTACTGTGTTGCTAGACTTGAGCAGGTTGTATGGCTGAAAAGAATTTTCTGTGTGTGACTTTATATTCAATACATGGCGTGGTTTTTAGGTAAAGTTAGAACCAAGAGTCTATTTAGGAAATTTAAAAATATATGATACAAGATGTTTGTCTGTCTGTTTCTGTCTGTGTGTGTGTGTGTGTGTGTTTGTTTGTTTGTTTGTTTGTTTGTTTGAAGCAGGGACTCAAGTAGCTCAATCTGGTCTTGAAC